ACACACACACACACACAACAAATTCAAGGAACAGGCCTTGCTGTGTGTCTTAGTAGGAACATTGTGTTCAGTGCAAATGCAAACTCTACCTCTATTAAAGAGCAGGTGAGGAGTCCCTTTCCCTGTTATGTAATGGTACATATAGTGCTTTTGAACACATGAACACATGAAGAGGCTTCCTCATTGGTACTAGTTGAGTTGTTTCTTTGAGAGATCAAACCACACAGCATTCAACAAATTGCTTCCTTCAGACTGGTCCCTCTTGAACCCTTTTTTATTAGTCTCACAAGAAAAAAAAATGTTTTAACATTCAGTTAACATTTTCCACAGAATTTCTTCCCACCTCCTGACATTGTGTGCTTATATATAAAAAAGGTGGTGTTTTCCACTGTGTGGGGTTGCCTGACATGCAAATGAGGCAATGAAAACAGAATTAGATATATATAAGTAAATATTAAGTTAATTTAAATCAAGTTAATTTTAAAAAAGTTAGATTTTTAAAAGGAAAGGAAACAAAGACATGTTCAAAATAAATACTTTGACTTCCATGAAGCATTTTGTTGTACTGTAAGCAAGTGAGCTGGATTTGACTAGGTGGTTGACCCATTCAACTGTGACAGGCTCTCCATAGATCTGCCAGCTGTTGAACAGCTGGCTGACCATGAAACTTATGGTTCCCTTTGCAAGCATGTACGAAGTCCCAGTCTGGGTCATACTGATAAGATGAGATGCTCACTCTTGACTGTACTCCCGCTGACTTAACACCGCAGCGAGACGCACAACCACCTCATCTGAGAGGGTGAGTTCAAGTGAACATCGGTGTGTCAACATTTTGTGCTTTCAGAGCCTTTAACAGCATAGTGGTGATTGACGGCTTCTCCCTAAATAATCTCAGAAATCTCTGTCAGTCATTAACAAAGCATTCAGTAGCAAAGAAATGTAATTATTAAAGTAGCAGGGGTCATAAAATCCGGTTTGGGAAAGACTGCCAAACTATTAAATTCCCAGTACTTGATGAGCTGACCACTCTGACCTCTGAGCTCCCTGGGACTGAGCATTAAAAGAAAGTAGAAACACTTGTACTAAAACCCCCCTGGAACACAATGTGACCTAATATAAATGCAGCCTCCTAACCGAGCTCCATAACCACAAGTTAATTAATAGGTCAGCCTGCTGGGTCATCTCATACTGCGAGGCATCTCCAGTTCAGCTCAGACTCTTGTGGTCACAACGTCCCACAGCTTCCATGCTCATTAACCATCTCTTGTTACAAGTATGAGACTAACAGGGCAGCATGCACCTCACACTGCTACCTGTAGCTATTGAAGGAAGAAGTGAAGCTTCCTCCTCACTCGCCCCTCAGATCGGGGAAGGGAGGGGAGCGTAGGTGGAAAACATCACTGAAAGGATTAGACAGCGCTATAAACTAATCAGTGATGTAGATATACATGCCACTTCCTCATTAAAAGAGCCATTTAAGCGGTGTGTAGGTATAACTTTCAAATTAAAGCACTGTCCTCATGAGACACAACTCAGCATCATAAATTCTCAAGTTTCTGGAATACATTATCACACAAAAGTGCTGATTTTCCAATGGTCTTGAAAATGTAGGCACTACGGCTGCAACTAACAGTTATTTTCCTTATTGATCAATCTGATGATTACTTTCCAGATTGACTGATTGATAGCTTGGTCTAAAATGTAAAAAGATATTACATCATGAGTTGGTGGAGACCAAACAGACCCAAAAGGACAGTGATCATTGGACCTAAAAGAACAGTGTGTAGGATTTAGACTTTAACTTTTCTTTCAAATTTTCTGAATTTTTTTTTTTTTTTGACAGCCTGACAGCTTTAAAAGGTGATACTATGTTAGTGCTGTATTTGCAGCTTGTTTCTGTTGATGGAAGTTTAAAGTTGCACTAATTTTTATTCTACATCATTCGTAGTGACAAACCCACAGAGAGTTAACACCCGACTCTGCAGCTCCCCTTAGGTTTACGGAGCATTTTTTGCATCTCTTAGCTAAGTTTTGGTTTTACGGCTCCTCAACTGTTTTGGTTCAGTCTCACGTTTTTTGTAAAAAGCTCTGATAAACAAAGTCTACACAACCTCCTCATCGATGAACAGAAGACAAAGTTTGCAGTTGAGGAGGCAGAAGTGATCCTTTTTCATTCAAGATTAAACTTGTTGTGCTCATCAACCTCAGCACTAACATGCCAAACCTTCAGCATTATCAGCAGCAAGGTACCGGCACAGCACATACTGCACACAGTCCCATGAAACAAGGCAGTGACAGTGTGACCTGCAACACATGATACGAATAAAACGTACTTTACCACTTTTATCAAAATGTTGTGTCATAAATGAACATGTTTGTTAGACCAGGTGTACAGGAAGAAGTTAGCACCTTAATGAGATATAGGTCTTCTCAAAATCCCATCAGCAGCTGTCTGAGCCCAATTGACAGACATGATCAGAAATATGGGATAGCATTAAGACATCCATCACCTATGTGTGTCTGTTTCTGTCTTCACCCTTTAACAGATGGTAGGTTAATAAAATCAAATGAAACACCACCCCCGGTAACCCTAACTTGTAAGAATACAGCACTGTAGCTTCAACAGATGAGATGAAAACATCTTTTTCATCTTTTATTACCAAGAGCACCTCAGCAGCATTTAATGTAATGCAAATAATTGGCTTCTCTTTTGTAAGGAGAGAGCTACTGTGTGATGAACATGCATCCTGCTGGGCTGTGCTGGGCTGATGGTCGAATGAGTCACCACGAAAGGTTAGTTTAATGTCATTCTGTAAATGAAACACATGCACCTGTCGAAGCAGTGACACTAATTTCAAAAGCAATTTTAGACAATAATCCTACAGGCTAGCAATTGTATTAAATCTGGACATCATTATAGATAATGGATGGATAGAAGAGATCTCTATAACCTATAGGTACATCATGATCTGGTGGAGCTGGCACCCCATGTACGGAGGCCTTGCTGCAGTGGCCATTGGTTCAAGTGAGAACATGAGAAATATTAAATTGCAGTAACCTCTTGTGAAGTGTTAATCTTATTCAGGATTTTTCTTATAGACTGGAGTGTTGGCATGATTCATTCATTCATTCATTCATTTAATGAACCCCATTGCTGAGGAATATGTGACTTGAAATATATGACTAATGCAAGCCTGCATAGCACTTGACTGACTGAAAACAAAAGACAGCATTTTCTTTCTGTGTTGTTGTGAAAAGGATTCTCTAGGAGTGCACTGCAATCAACACACCCGAACACCAACATCATTCATGGCCTGATACTCAGATGCAATATTATGTAATGTATAGTCTACTAGATATTAATTATAATCAGACTTAATTCCGTAATGATGATCCAAAACAATTAAGATATCCGAGATCAAATCATGAAATTTACGTAGCCATCTTGTCTGTGAAATATAACCCTCAGGGACACTGTTGGGACAGTTTGCCTTGATTTGACAAAGACAGATCAGGAGTCAATGACAGCCTATCTGTAGACAGATACACAATATTCAAGGCTATTGCTGGGAACACTGAAGTCCCCAGTTGGTTTCTTCCACTGCGTTAACCGAGTTATTGGCATAAGTATTGTCTGGGTGTCATTTTTGTTGTGCCCTATGCCCCTAAAAGAATAGGGCTTCAGAAGGATGGCAAAAGTCATGCGGAAGTTCATACTTTCCCCCTGAACCTTCCCCTATCCACCAGGTGCCTCAAACAACCAGTAAGAGTCAGCAGTGCAGAAAGCTCCCTCACTGGCTTCCCACCCATAAATCAGTTGTGTTCACCTGGCCAAGTCAAAGATACCACTGGCAGGGATTCATAACATATCTTGAGTTGATAAGCATAAACATTGATTCACTGATCAGCTTGTTATGATTACTGGCAGCCACGAACAAAACCAGGAGTTTAGCTATTGTTTGTGGTCACCATACGGAGAAAGATTCTTAATTGAATTGAAAATGTTGCAGAGTCAGACTGCTGATGAAATGAAAGCACCAAACTTGGGTAGCAAATGCTGCTTATACTTTTCAAACACAATACAGCGCAAAATCCGATTGGGTTCATAGAAAATTTTTACTTTCAGCCAATTAAACAAAATCGATCAAAGCAGAGATTTTTTTTAGTTGCTACAATATCTACAGTATGGTCTACAGTAATTCTTACCACATTCCAGAAGAGAGGGTTGAAAATGATGGCGATCACAGCAATACAAAAGCTGGAGTCATTAAAGTTGATGTGTTTTAAGACTTCTTCCATGAACGTTAAGTCCATCTGAAAGAAACAAACGTGAAAAAATTTAAATAATTTGTTATTTTTTTCATAAAAACACAATATAATTGAAAGATGGAGGCTTAAAAGTGTGGTCTATAATACCGTCTACTACTCTCTAGCTAGTTGTAAAAAGGTGTTAAATATCGTCAGAATATCTGCACAGGAATAGAAACATTAGCCAGGTTTCCATCCAAATTCTGCACAAATTTTATCCACAGAAACGTTTTTGCAATATTTCAAGTTCTTTTTTCAATTTCAACACAGCACAAACAAACACAGTAACAGCCTGTCATACAATATTTTTATTGTGAACGGAAAAACTGAGGCTTTTAAGAGGCGAAGCATAGCGCATTAAAATAAATACTAATGACTGATGAGGTGGAGCAGCATAGACTGATATTCCTTCTCTGTCACACGCTGGGCTGTTCTCTGTGGTTTTCCAGCTTATGCCTATTGACGCCAGAGATGAAGAGCAACAAAGTAGGTCATTTAGGCCAATGCTTTCAGTTTGCTTTGGGTCTTTTATGTGTTTTATGTCACAGTTTTGGGGCCTGCACTTTCATAATAAGCAGATGGACTTATTTTTGCTGAGTACACTTTATTAGTCCTATTATATTTGTTTCATTGCCGTCCGGCCACTTTTTGTTAAGATGTATCTGGTTCTGGACAGAGTTGCATGCTGTTTGAAATTAATTCAAATTAATTTGAATTTCTCCTACGGGGGATTAATAAAGGTATCTTTATCTTATCTTCAGTTTTTTGTTATTGTCAGCAAATCCATAACATAATATTTTGTCAAATTATAATAAAGTGTGTGTTCAAAACCACATTATTTTTTCATTCTTTTAAGGGTTATTGTAACCTACTGTCATAATAATTGTGTTGTACTGATATGGTGAGAAATTACATACCCTTGCAACCCTCGTTGCTGTTTTAACTGTTTTATGACTTAATTTGCTATAAACATTTAATAGTTACTTTTATATTGTGTTGCTTGGAGTCAACATTAGTGTACTGTGGTGTGCTTTTATTTTGAAAAGGCAGCTGTAGCGGATGTTTTTTGGCTGTGGGCAGCTCAGCCACGAAGCCGACCGGTTCACAGTTCAGTCGGTCAAACCGGGACCTTCGCGGCTTGTCTGAGCAATTACACCGATTCATGTGAAAGTTAGACATGCAGAACAGCTCCGTATTTAGCAGTTTTGCGTTTTACCTTCGAATAATCGACGTTGTTGAGTCCTCCGCAGCAGTCGAGCAGCACGGGATGCTTCTTTCCAGCGGGATTCCGGTTCCCAGCAGCGTCGCCGTCGCTCATACACACCGAGTGACCGCTGGCAGGCCACCAGCACCTATCTGTGTGTCTGGGAGATAACGAAAATTGCACAATATTGAGTGCAAGGTTCTTATTTTTCAGTGAAAGAGAGCGCCAGTTGCCGTGGAGAACTACACATGTCCTAATGACCTCTAACCACTCAATGCATTCTGGGAAATGGAGTTAATTTGTGGTGGACAGAAGCAATTGGTGGCTATCTCACACAAGCAATCTCTATTCTCGGCCAGAAAAGAGCAGACATCTTTAACTTTTGGATCTGCTGCCACACACAAACCAACCTGTGTGATAGGTTTTTCTTCCTGCATTAGTTTTCTCCTTTGTAGCTAAGGAATAGTCTGTTGCTCTGCAGCGACACCTGCTGGCTGAGTGTAGTAAGGCTTTTTTAGAATTGGGATTGGTGGAGGAGAAAACTCCCAGCACCAACACCTTGTATTTATTATATTAAAGTATCTTTATTGGCATGAAATCAGAACGAAAGGCTCGATCTGTGATGGTAGTGAATGGTAAAGAATGTAACTTAAGGGGAACGTTGCCTCTGTCATTCTCAAGTTGATTGACAGGTGTTTTATTATAGGGCCTACCGCTAGAATGATTTTTAATTTCATATACGAGCACACACAGCTTGTTTGTTTGAACTGTGAGTCAACTCATTTAATTTAATATATCTGGTTACTTTACATTAAAAAAAAAGTCAAATAAAAATATCTACATCTATTATTTTTTATATTACATCTATTCTCAGATTGTTTTACCCTCTCCTTCCTCATCCTTCCTTTTCACCTCACTTCTTTTCTTCTTTCCTCTTCTCCTCACCCTCCTCTTCTTTCCTCCTTTATTGTTTCCTTTTCTCTTCTTCGTCCTCTTCTTGTCTCTCCTCCCTTAGTTCTCTTCTCTTTTGTCTTCTCTTATTCCCCTTTCCCTTCTTTTTCTTTCTTTTCCCATCTGCTCTCCTCTATTTGTTTTTCTTCTGATATTGGTATATTTCTTTATTTCATGCCTAATTTCTGTGCTCAATTGTTGTATTATTTTCTCCATCTTATTACAATTACCTACTGTCCTCTCTTTTCCTCCTCTTGTTACCCCTCTGTTCTTCTGTTCTACCTGTCCCCTCCTTTCCTATTTCTGCTCAGCTTCTCCTCTCCACTCCAATTCTGATATCTTCATCCTCTCTTCTCCCCTAACACGCATCCTCTGTTCTCATCTCCTATATTATTTTTTTCTCTTCTATTACTTCCCCAGGTCATTTTTTCTCTCCTTTGCTCCCATTCTTTCCCTTTGCTCCTCTTTTCCACTCCTCTTCTCTCCTCCCTTCCTCCACCCCCTGCGGTTTGTTTGGAGTTCTGTTAAGCAGAGGACGCCCCATGTGGAGGGAGAAATGGAGAGAGCGCGTAAAGCCTTGCAGCTCCCTGACCGAGTATACTGTCCGTTCATCAGCCTGCGACGTGTCGGAGCCGAGAGCTTTAATATAGCGGGCATGACATGCAGCCAGCAGATGAAGATTATGGCTGTAATTAAGATTCTCTCCTCCGTCTTCTCTTCCTTGTTGCTCCTCCAGCTGTACTTTTTCCCTGCTTTCTTCTGCTGCTTAAGCTCCTGCTCCTGCCAACCACTGATGCAAACTACGTGAGGAAAATGCACCCAAACAAACAAAGAAAAATTAATGCAAACGACAAAACGTCAAGGTTTATCCTCTGAATAATCCCTTTGTTTCCCACAAAAAGCTTACCTGAGTCACTCAAACTCATATTGTTTTGTGGGGAGCATTTTTGTTCAGCTATTATTGTGCCTTTTGTATTGACAGAGGCTGTTTTCTAGGAATCCTTTTCATTAATCTTCATGTAAATCCTTGAAAGGACATTGGTATAAAACTTTAAAAGAAATAGCATGAAGATTACATACTTAGAGCAAACGTGAAAATGTGAAGAACGGGGAAGGACAGCGATGAAATATAGCAGAGGTAAGGGAAGGCTAAGGACAAAAATACATAATGTATAAATATAGCACAAAAAGCTTTAAAGCAGCTATATACAGTGTTTTTATAACAATATTACAAACCTACTTGATATATTTGTTAAAGGCAGACATTTTGCCCGGGAGTTAGTGGAGACCAAAAATCAGAGCTAATACAGAGTGAATATTGGACTTACATTTGCCAGATGCCAGATGGCAAAAACATGATTCCAGATGAGTGTGGTTTGCCTTATCGACTTAAAAGTTGAAGATATGTCAGTGTTTTACGAGCTTGTTTCTGCTGCAGTTAATCAATGCAGGTGTAAAGTTCCATGGTCTGTTAATTAATGTGCATTGTCCCTTTTAAACTTCAAACTTTAAATACACTGGAAAAATAACACATTCATACCAAATGTATGAATACCATTATTATACCAGAGGTTGAGGGATCCCGTT